GGAGGTGTCGGTTGAGTAAGATCTTCTCAAGCCTGATTGATAGCTACGGAGAATGTTGTCATTAACGTACTTAACTACTTAACAGTACACCGCCCTCTCTAGAATTTTGGATATTACACTGAGTAAACTAACAGGCCTATAGTTGCTTACATCAGACCTATTATTTTTCTTGAAGAGAGGAGTAACTCTGGCCTTCTTGAACCCCTCCGGTACGGTATTAGTGGCGATGGACAAATTTATTACAAGAGCAAGAGGGATTGACAATTCAGAGGCACCATCTTTTAGGAACTTAGACGGGATGTTATCTGGGCCGGTGCTCTTAGTTGGGTTTAACCTGCTTAGTTCTTTTTGACAACTGTTTGGGGTTACCCCTTTATTGGTATAGTATGTTTGAAACTTATCAGAGTCTGTGTTAAAGGTATTTGATGCAGCTGGTAGTTTACTACTAGTGTTGATGCGACAGATGTGTAGTAGGAATTAAAACAATTTGCCACCTTAGTTGTTTCGTGGCATACCTCGTTATCGATAGTGAGTACTATGTTAGACCTATCTATTGGTTTATGGCTATACCCCAACAGTTTTAGTTATTGCTAGAGCTTACTGGGGTTATGCTTATACTCTTCAATCTTTGAGCAATAGTGCTTTGCCTTTGCTCCTTTTATAAGTCTCTGTACTCTGTTCCTCACCCTCACCCCTGTTCCTCAACTGGTCTCTGAATTTTATATTATCTAATACCTCAGTAGTCATCCAGGGTTCGGGTCTCTGTTTAATCCTAACCTCTTTAACTGGTACAATATTATCAAGGATGGTAGTGAACATTGTTTTGAATTTTCCCCAGGCATCGTTTACGTCCGTGCAACTTGTTATCACTATTCAGTCACAATTGTGTAGCCTATTTACCAGTGTTTCTTTGCTGTAGTTTCTAGTTGACCTCATTTTTATTGTCCTGTGTAGGCCTATCCTATCCCTAGTGATTTTCCTGGTGCAGTAAATGATGAAATGATCACTAAGGCCTGTGGTAATGACGCCTGACTGACTAATATTCTCAGAGCGGTTACAAAGTATGTGGTCAATTAGGGTGGCTGAGAACTGTGTGATCCGGGTTGGTGTGTTAATTAGTTGAGTGTAACTATTTAAACCTAAAATTTGCTTATACCTTATGCATAGCCCGTTATTTTGCTGCTGAAAACAGATATTGAAGTCGCCCAGTATTATTGTCTCGCAATTGTTTTCAAGTCCGGACAATACTCTGGAAAAGTCTTCTAAGAACTGGTCCTGGGTGGGAGGGCGGTAACTAGTTCCTGCTCAGATGAGTTTGGTCTTGGGAAGCACTTCAAACCATAGAATCTCCAGTTTATTGTTATTTAAATCTGGCCTTGGGTTGTAAGATAAGTCATTTCTTATGTAAGCACATACCCCACCACCCTTTCTGTTCCTATCTAAGCGTTTTATATTGTAACCTATTTTGACCTCGTCGTCAGTCACCGTATGATCCAACCAGGATTCAAAGATGGATATAACTGCTGCCCAAGTTCTGTTAGCTAAAATCCTAATCTCTGCCAATTTTCGAAAAAGTGATCTTGCGTTGACATGAATAAAGTGAAGGCCTGTTTTCATAAAACAATTATAATCATAAATAGCTGGCAATGGGTCACTTGTATTAAAATTAGGTAAATCAATGTCATCACTGCTAAAGGTTAACTGTGCCAGAGTGCATTTGTTACACACAAAATGAATTCTGACACCATTACTATAATTGTACACACATCCATCATGCACCCACCCCTTACACATTTTACATAAGGTGCCTTTTCTGTTCTTCTTTCGTACTTTAGTACAGTGCATGCACCTGTTTGGTAGTGTTTGAGATAATGGCTGTATTGTCGCATATTGACCTATGTATACATTACATATGGAGTTAAGGTTATCATTCCTAGCTACTAGACTGTCATTATCACTGTCACTTATCTGCCTGTTTTGCCTCTGCACAATAGTTTAAGGTCTTGGATTAGTTTGGATAGCACCACTTAACAGCGCCACTTTTAGAGCTGTGTGCCACTGTTTTTGTTTGGGTATGCGGTGCTGCCATACCTTGCGGCGATAGTGACATTCACGTTTCTGGTAGGATGGCAACTGCTGGGCTTTTACTGTCCAGGGTGCTATCACCCCATTCGCTTTTTCCAGCCCCATGACTGATTTCCTTCTTCACAGAATTTCAGGAGAAAGATAATGTTACCTTTTCCGTGTGTTCTGATGAAGTGGTCGGAGCCCAGATCAATGTGTAGACCACAGTGTGGTCTAAACCCAGACCATTGTAACACCCTTGTGTTACATGCCACCCTGATGTGACCATTATTCAATTGACACTAGTGAGTCAAGGCATCAGATACATGAGACGTCTGAGCGTCCTGTATAGAAAGTAATTATGCTCACCCGCTCTCGCTGACATCTCATCAGACAGTCGTTCCTGCTACGACTCCCACATACTCCTGTGTCATCCATGCTACAATTCACCCTCTCACCGGCACAACTAAGTTCCTGGCAGTGACTGCCCCTGCGACAATACCAGTCAAGAGCCTTCCTGAGTTGAGTGTCCAAAAAGTCCTGCCAGAGTTCTGGCGATGCTTCACTCGAGGGCACCAGCAGGTTGTGCCCCAGGTTGAGTGAACCATGCAGCGACTACCACACGATGACTCCTGCTTCACCGTTTCAGACGAGACCGTACTATTACGTAGCTAAGCCGCAGGGAAGTTTCCTAGCATATTGCAGTACAGGCCAGTCCAGACGCAGGATGGTGTGCAGTGACGTTCACCAAGGCTCACTGTGTTGACACACAAAGTTTTTACCATACCCCTTTTTTTCTTCCATTCATGGGAGGAAGTTTTTTGTCCATGCAAATATGTTTTGCATTTCGTGCTAATGCCCTGTTCCTGTCAGAGACAGTTTCATTCAGTCACTTGACATAGTCAGGATCACTCTGGGTAGAATACCCAAGCAATGTAATCCCTGTTGAGTTTTATATTTTGCATCAGGCTACCCTTCATATTTCGCGCCATGCCTCTAAGCTGGTACTGCCAACTCGTGAGCTTAGGCCTATCTCCAATCCATGATATACTAACTCATTCTCACTTAGCTAGCAGACAGCCTACAGTCAAGAAGTACCTTCTCTCTCTCCCTCGCCAGGGGACTTGGCCTCTGGCCAGGCTTAGACACAATGCTTGTATTAAGAACACCAATAAACCTATGCTACACATTTGAAGAGTATTATTCACTGCAACAAGACATCTAACCATTTCCATTATAGTACACAGTGTACAGTGTCGTGAATGACTCCTTACTTAGATGTAGATATGCTGCAACGGTTATTTGGTTGGTGTGCACTTAAGGAGATGTGCTCGTTATGGTGCTTACCCCAAGAACTTTTCCTTGAGTGAGTTTTGCAGCCTTTGACCCCCTAGGCTATACTCCACATCTTCAGTCTACCTTATCCTTCCCCAGGCTTCATGACTTTGCACTTGGTAGGGTTGGAAATCTAAACACATATGCAGTATAATGTGATCCTTTATTGACAACGTTTCGCCCACACAATGGGTTTTTTCAAGTCACAAACAGATCTACCTAGGGTGGAAGGTACACGAGTATTTATAGTCAGGTTCAGAATGCTGAGGTCAGGTGGAGAATGCTGCACGTGATGATCTACCGAGTGGGGTTATAGAATCTAAAATCTTGGGTAGCTGGGAAGGGAGATTGGATAAGTATGTGAGTAGACCTTTTGCAATGTTCATTCATCTCATTTTGTCAGTCTGGGGCTCCGCGCATACATGTCTGAACCTCGATTATGTTGTGATCCGAGTACATTGTTTTTGATATGGTGACATTTCGTATCAGATCATCATTGTTAGTGAAGATCAGGTCCAGTGTATTCTCCAGTCTAGAAGGCTCTATTATTTGCTGGTTTAAGTTGAATTTTGTGCAGAGATTTAAAAGCTCGTGTGAGTGTGAGTTTTCATCAGAGCTGCCTCCTGGTGTTAACACTGCAACATTATTTGCTATATTCCTCCATTTTAGGTACCTTAAGTTGAAATCCCCCAGGAGCAAGATGTTGGGGACAGGAGCTGGAAGATTTTTCCAGACAGTGGTCAATTTTCAACAGCTGTTCCTGGAATTGTTGGGACGTTGCATCCGGAGGCTTGTAGACTACCACAATGACTAGATTTTGGTTCTCGATCTTTACTGCTAAAACTTCCACTATATCATTTGAAGCATTAAGCAGTTCTGTGCAAATAAGTGACTCTGCGATATACAGGCCAACACCCCCCCCCCCCTTTTTTTTTTTTGCCTGTTTACTCTGTCGCATCTGTATAGGTTGTAACCTGGGATCCATATTTCGTTGTCCAAGTGATCCTTTATGTGGGTCTCTGTGAAAGCCGCGAACATTGCATTTGCCTCTGCAAGCAGTCCATGGATGAAAGGTATTTTGTTCGTTGCTGGCTTTGGGCACTATATTTGCAAAGAATGTCATCGGACTGGTGGTATTGGTGGTACTGGGGCGGGGACGTTTTTTCCGGCACTTGTATCTATATCTGTTGGTTTGGAGTGGAGGCCATCGACTGTGATTCCACTCCAGAAATGACTGGATTTGGTGTACGATTTCTGCCATTTCCTGCCAGTTTTTTTTTTCTTCCTGGCACTAAAAAATCCTTGTTTGGCCTAGTGGTCTAAAGCGTCATGCGTTTTCTCTAACCATGAGGCGGGCCAATACAGCATGGGTTCGACTCCTTGGCTAGTGCAGTGCTGTTATTGATCAATACCACTTGTTCCGTGGGTACAATATTAAAAATATATATATATATTATATATATATATATATATATATATATATATATATATATATATATATATATATATATAATCCTAGCCAACCTACCCAGAAGAACTGTTAAAGACAACTAAATATATTAATATATATTCAGGAAGTCTGGAACACATCCATGTCTCACCTGCTGGGTAGATTTTGTAGACACCATCATGTTGATATCCAGCAGTCAGAAGGTCGAGGCAGTCCATAGGTAATATTCTGGAAGCCTCATTACTAGTATGGTGAGGCAGGTGTTGAGCTACTTGACTACCCAGAACGGGAGAGTATTCTCTAAGAACAAACGGAGACTTCTCATATTCAACATTACTTTCTAAATCATCACTGTATTCAAAGAAAGCTTCCAGTTCATCTTGTTGAAGCTGCGTGAACAGTTCAGTTTTGTTGGTGGTTTTAAAGTGCTTTTGTTGGGAGTCCTCTGGAAGCCAGTCTAAGGCATGACGTCTTCTCCTCTGGTTACTGGAAGGTTCCCTGTGGTGCATCGTGGCTCTTACATAATCATCATGGTTAAATAAAACAGCAGACTCGAAATCATCTGTCCAGGATCCCAGTGACACCATTACTGACTGCAGTTGATCACTGAGGTCTTGAACTCTTAGTGTGGAGTAAGTCATCACTTTAGTAAACTTCTCTAACACATCGGATACTTGATCCGATAACTTCACCCTCAGAGCTTCAGACAAAGTATCGTGCAACACATCAACTTCCTCAACAAATCTTAGAAACTCGGAATACATATCCGACTGAAGGCGGGTGATTTCCCCTCTCAATTTTGCTTGGAAATCATGAGCTATTTTGTTCAACTCATTTTTAAATATAATTTGAGACTCTGTTTCAGTGATCACAGACAGTCTGGCTCCTCCATTGTCCGGAAAGAAGACCAATGAACACAGCAGCACAGCTATGGCAAACATTGTCCCTCTCAGAGTACAGTGAGACTGTATGTAAATGGGTTGAGAGTTACTGCTGCTGCTGGGTATGAGAGGCGGTGCAGCACCAGTACAACTGCGCTTGCTGACGCCCATCTTTCACTCATCACCTCTCATTTCTCACTTTATTTCGCTTAATTTCTTTTCTACCCAAAAGTTTAATTACAGTTCATTTTCAGTGCCTTTTTTAAAGCTTATATAATGAGAGTGTAGAGTGTGTGGTGTCTTATATTGACCACATCATTCCCAAAACATCCTCGTAAGAGAATATATGTTTCCATACCGTTGAGAATGCTACGGTGTTACTATCCTAACATGAACTTCAGACAAGGATAGTCTGAGTATAGTAATAGAACATTGTTCTTCCTCACGACACTTGTGTGAATGATTAGACTAAAACAACAAGAACAAACACCCCATCTTTCTACACATCCAGGTTTACCTGGAGGTTGTCTGCACATCTAAGTAGATTTTTATTTACTTCTGCCTACATAACAAATAATTTTAATAATAACAATCTTCATTTCTACAAGAATATGATACAGATCTAGCTGACATTATTAACATACTATATAGAAAGCCCTGGGTTATACAGAACATTTCGGGCAACTTAGGCTAATCTTGTCCCCAGGATGCGACCCACAACAGTCGGCTAACACCCAGGTACCTACTTACTGCTAGGTGAACAGTGACAGCAGAAGTAAGGAAACGTGACCGACGTTTCGCCCGTGCCGGGTGAAACGTCGATCCCCCCCGGACCCTCAGTGTGTGAGTTAAGGACGTTGTCAACCAAGCCACGAGCACCCGTAGGGTCACACATGTTATGAACACACCAACAGATACATTATGTAGATTTAACCTAGGATAACCTAATAGATTAATTAATTAGTAGATTGATAAGTATGGGAATTCAGAAATATTATTCAACAAATGATCAATAAAGTTAATTTATTACCACTGGCGAGGTGGTTCCCCGCTTGTTAACGACTTAAAAACTTAAAAAAATAACTAGTGTATGTATTGCGTAACACACACAGCAGACAATGAGAAAACATACAGCAGACACCGAGGAAAGCCACATATAGCAGACAGGTTCTGCAAACATTGAAGTGAAGCGGATACCCAGCAGAGATTGAGAGAAAGAGAGAGGAAGCACACACTGCAGACAGGTCCAGCAGACACCGAGGAACTCACAAGCAGCAGATGCTGACGGAGCACATACAAGGTGACACTAATGCACAAAACAGTGTTGCACCAACATAAGAGAAGAATGGAAATATAAACACAAATGCAGTATAATGTGATCCTTTATTGACAACGTTTCACCCACACAGTGGGCTTTTTCAAGTCACACACGGATCCGTGTGTGACTTGAAAAAGCCCACTGTGTGGGTGAAACGTTGTCAATAAAGGATCACATTATACTGCATTTGTGTTTATATTTCCATTGTGTCGGTATTTTATACCATTTATTTCCATAAGAGAAGAATCCTTCGTTTCTATATAGCCTATTATATAATAACAAAGTACAAATAAGCCTATATAGGGAAATTCATTGATTTTGATGATGTGATAGATGATTTTGCATAATTGAAGGCAAGGAAATGTTAGATCAGATTCACTGAGATGTTACCTGTACTCAAGGTCAAATTGGAACTAGTATTTCTCTGATATTGCGATGTTTTTATTTATTTTTTTCATTTTTTTTTTTTGACATTGTTGAAGATGAATAAATGTAGGATCTGTTGCTGTACTCAAAGTGGTATTTGAGTTTATGTTTCCTCAATATTACTATGATTATTTATTTCATCAATAATAAAGTTGAGAAGTATTCTCCTGTTCGGTTTATGGCCCTTTAACGTTCTAGTTGTTAAACATTAGTTACTGGTCATGCAGTAGTGACTTAATAATGTTGGTAGAATTACCGACAATATGTAAAGTAAAAGGACACAAGTGCAACTAATGTGACATTTTTATTGTGGCAACGTTTCGCTCTCCATGAGCTTTGTCAAGCCGTAACGGTTTGATAAAGCTCCTGGAGAGCGAAACGTTGCCACAATAAAAATGTCACATTGCACTTGTGTCCTTTTACTTTACAATAGTGACGTAACTGGAATTTACCCCCTCCCCCACCCCACCCTTGAATTTCATGGGGGTGACACCAAAGATGCCGCCCCGGGTGACACCAACTCTAGCGACGCCTCTGAGTGTAAACACTCTGAGGGAGCAAACCCAACAGAGATGTCCTCCACACAGATACTGAGGAACACACCCAGCAGACAGATCCTGCAATCAAACAATAAAGGAACACAAACACAGCAGACACTGAGAAACAAACACAGCATACACTGAGGAACACAAATGCAGCAGACACTGAGGAATATCCACTAGGAATTTTTATTGACCTAAGAAAAGCTTTTGACACAGTAGACCACGACATCCTACTCCACAAACTTGATCATTACGGTATAAGAGGCCATGCGCTTGCTTATTTCAAATCTTACATTACTAATAGGTATCAGTATGTCACCATTAAAGACACAGCATCAGCAACACGGCCACTTGATACTGGAGTTCCGCAGGGAAGTGTCCTTGGTCCCCTGCTCTTCCTCATATACATCAATGACCTTCCAAACGTACCCCAACACCTGAAACCCATTCTCTTTGCTGATGACACGACTTATGTCATCTCTCACCCTAATCTTGCCACCCTCAACACCATTGTGAATGAGGAGCTGATTAAAATATCGACTTGGATGACAGCCAATAAACTTACGCTTAACACTGACAAAACCTACTATATTATGTTTGGTAGCAGAGCAGGAGATGCACAAATTAACATTAAGATTGACAACACTCTAATTACCAGAAATAATGGGGGCAAATTCCTAGGCTTATACCTTGACAACAACCTGAATTTCAGCACCCATATCCAGCATATAACCAAAAAAGTATCCAAAACGGTTGGGATCCTCTCCAAGATACGATACTACATGCCACAAAATGCCCTTCTCACACTATACCACTCACTTATTTATCCATACCTCACCTATGCTATTTGTGCTTGGGGATCAACTGCAGCAACACACCTAAAGCCAATAATAACCCAACAAAAAGCTGCAGTAAGAATAATCACTAAATCCCATCCCTGGCAACACCCCCCCCCCACTCTTCATAGACCTAAACTTACTCCCAGTTCAGTACATCCACACTTACTACTGTGCAATCTACATCTACAGGGCCTTAAACTCTAATATCAACCTTGACCTAAAATGCTTTCTTGATAGTCGTGACAGAACCCACAGGCATAACACCAGACACAAACATCTCTACGACATTCCCCGTGTCCGACTAAACCTTTACAAAAATTCAATATATGTCAAAGGCCCTAAAATCTGGAATACCCTACCTGAGAACTCTAGAACTGCAGACACATTCATCACCTTCAAAACTACCATTAGAAAACATCTTATCTCCCTGATACACCCCGTCAACTAACTACACGAATACCACCTGGTGGTTCACACTTACACTCACTCACTCATTTGACCATAAACAGAAATATTAATCTCAATCTTAAAATAATGAATCCTGTGATACTCCAATACTGAAACTATGTACTGTGCCAAAACAAAAGCATTCACATTGCTAAACTCACAAACTAGTATTTAGTCACTTAGCCATAATACCAACTTACCTCATAATTTGTAATATTTTACAATTAAGAATAAAACTAAGTCTGCCCGAAATGCCTAGCCATGCTAAGCGTTCTAGTGGTACACTCTGTAATCACAATTTTACTACATGTAAACCACACAATAACCAAATTTCTGTAAACTCAGCATTGTAATCCTTATAGAGAATAAACTTTCAATTTGAATTTGAATTTGAACATAAACACACCAGACACTGAGGAACACAAACAGCAGACAGTGAGGAACACAAAAACAGCAAACACTGAGGAACACAAACGCAGCAGACACTGTATAAACAGGCAAACACATCCGACACCAAAGAACTCACACAAACACGCTTTGACAACTAGTAACTACTACTACACACATACAAACTCACACAGACACACAACACACACACAACACACAAAATAACACACACACACACACACACACACACACACACACACACACACAACACAAAACACAACACACAAACACACACACACACACACACACACTCAACATACACACACAACACACACACACACACATTGCCAGACTCACACATACACTCCCCCCTCCCCCCACCGACATCTCACTCCACCTGATCCCCTTCTTCCCCTTTCACCCTCCCCTTCCCCACCTCTCCCTCCTTCTCCCTCTCCCTCTCCCACTCACCCACTTGCTTCTCCCTCCTTCCCACTCCCCCTCCCCACTACTCTCCCACATAGCCACAGTTCCTCCTCTACCTCCCCTCCCCCCACACTCTGACATACACAATACTAACCTAACATACAGAATTACATAGGTTTCCCACTCTGAGGCAATCAGGATAAAACAAAAATGGGTTGCCAGAGAGCAACAAGAAAAACCAAGGGACAGGAGGAGGAAACTGCAAAGGAAGATTGGGAAGCAGAGCTCACAAAAAGGGAACATGAATGGGAAAAGAAACTAGAAGAACTTAGCATGAGAATGGAAGAGAGGATAGACATGGAAAGCAGGAAGTGGGAGGTGCAAGTCAAAGCAGCAGAGGCCAGGATACAGAGTTTAGAAAAGGAACTGAAAAATCTGAAACAGCCTAATGAACTAAAGAACATTTTGGGATTGACAACAGAGACTGCTACCTCAGTCACAAATAGGGGACTGTAGGGAAAGAAGGAGCAAAACTGCATGTAGAAGCTCAATCGGGTGGAGACTGTAGTAAATGAAAGAGCTAAGCTATATGTGAAGGCCCTAACAGACAACAGCAGAGCCCAGGGAAAGCCGAGAAGGGAAAATGACAGGCCACTGAGCCCAAGTACCATTAGCTAGTGAAACTGAAGAAAAAGGGAAAGTGAAATGGAGGAAATCAAATTGAA